CCATCCATCCATCCATCCATCCATCCATCCATCCATCCATCCATCCATCCATCCATCCATCCATCCATCCATCCATCCATCCATCCATCCATCCAGAGTTTTGCTTTTCCTCCTCATACAAAAGGATAATTACTTTGGGGAAAGCAGACTGAGCCCAGCACAAGCAAAGGGAGGTGTCTTGGTTTTACCTAGATGGAAATGGCAGTGATAGTCAGAGACCCACAAGAACAGTTCACCCTTGTCCTCATTTTCCTACCATAACACCCTCCAAGTAAGCAACTGTTCTGCTCATGAGATGGAGATTTTCCTTATGTGCCTGAATTTCTCTTCTCCTGACTCACAAAAGGGATATTTAACAGTACTTACAAGGCAAAAAGAGTACAAAATTTACATGTGTGATGCATCAAAGGAGGTGAGGGCCCCTTTGATTCATTGTCTGCCTCAGTACCTYTAATGTTTTCTTTCCCAGTGCCGGCAGCATCTTCTCTGTGCCATACCCACGCAGTACCAGTGCAGCTGTGAGACAACAGCTTTGAGAGAAGCTTTGTCAATGCTCAGRGCTGGCATCCCCTGTGTCTCTCCAGAGACTTGACAAGAGGAGCAACACAAGAGATCAAGCACTCAGACCTGAGCTCTCATTAAATGCTTTTGCTGAGTGTCCCAATTGTGAGTGGTGTACTCAGGTCTGACACAATAAGCAAGCATTACTAACTGGACCTGTGGTAAAGTTACTTCTTYTTTTTCGTGTACTAATCACTGATGATGACTCTCCAGAGGCAATGACTCCTCATCTCTCTGGACCTCCCAAGCCCACAGGACAAACCTTCTGAACCAGATGAACAATTGCCTCAGCAATTGACCCACCCAATAGAATACAGAACAAATTAATATTTTTATTCACAACTTTTATAAAGTGTGCAATTTAAAATACCAGTTAAAGAAAGAAAATAAATTATATTCTCTTTAGTTGAGGAGCAATAGAGAGGGAATCTGTGGCAAAGGTACATTTAACATCAGCTTTTTAATTTACCACAGCTCCAGCTTTGACAGACTAACCCATTCCAGGGTAAAAGCAGATTGTGTTTCCATGGCAGCCAAATTTTGAAGTCCAGAGTGCTGATTGCACCCAGTGAGAGAAGGTCACGTGGAGAATTAGGCTAGAATGTAGCACCCAGCATAGAGCTCATGCAGGTTCTTCTGAGACAACATCTAATCACAACGTGAGTAGTGTGGGCAATASTTTATAACAGTATTTAAAGATCTTTTATCATTGAAAAAATATGACAATGTTTTAAATATAATTCCTACCAATATGTTAAGAAGAATGTAATATTTGATTATGAGGACAGCTTTAGACCACTTTTCAAACTCACTTTAAGCTATCACCCTTTTTTCTGCACATCTTACACAGTCACAGTCATGCTATCTCCAGAAGTTATGACAGTACAGATTAAGTCACCAGTCACATAATCTGTCTTTCCTTTGATGAACTCCTGGTGCGATTTGGGCACTTTCTCCAGCTAACAAGGCGGTGCAGTGGCTGGAAAAGTGGCATGTTCTATAGCGCTGACCCAGTGCTGGTTTATAGCCCAGAATAGAGTTTTTTGTTTGTTTGTTTGTTTGTTTTTAGCAGCCAATACAGTGTTGTATTTTACATTTAGTATGAGAATAATGTTGGTGACATGTCAATGTCTGAGTTGCTCCTAATTAGTGCTCACCCTAAATCCAGGACATTTCRCTGTTCCATGCTCTGCAGTGTGTCCCATGCTCTCAGGTGCACAAGATGCTGGGGCAGCRGGGCCAGGACAGAAGATCCAAACTGGCCAACGGGATACCCCATTCCACGGACTGAACACTCCGGAAGAGATGAAGGATGAGGGGCTGGGTGTTGGTCAGCAGGTGGCGAGCAATTACATTGTGCATCACTTGCCTTTCAGGGGTTTTATTCATGTCTCTCTTTCCTTTTATTACAATTATTATTGCTGTTGCTATGATGATGATGACAATGAGGAGGAGGAGAAGGAGGAGGAGGATGTGGCATTTTATTTCAATTATTAAGCTGTTTTCTTCACCCACTAATTTTACCRTTTTCTGACTCTTCTTCCCACCTCACAGGGATCAGGGCAGTGACTGAGCATCAGGGGCATCTGGCATTAAACCCCAACAGACCCTCAGCCATTGTGAACAGCACAGCTCACTGCAGTTGTACCTCTTTTTGAGTGAATAGGGATCAGAAACATGAGACTGTTTCTGAYCAACAATAAAGTTCTGGAGCATTTTACCATTATATCAGATTTGATCTTGCACCAAAAAAATCTACTCTTTTGACTCCTAGAGTTAAGAGGTCRATAGTCCACTATTGAAGCCAAAAGAGGTGTATGCATGTGGATCATGGCATAACCAGTCTGAAACTGCATGAATAGCAAAGAAGAGAACCATTGCAAAAATTTCTTTATAAAGTAAAGTCTGAGGAATGTTCAGAAACAGGTCCTACAAGGCATCTGCTTTAAATAATAACTCACACTGTAGYTGCCAAACAAAATAAACCTCCCCTGGGTTCCAAGCAATAGTTCACTTTTTCTTTTTGCAGGAATTATCAACACCAACTATTGCTGCCAGTTTATTCTCCTGAGAAAAGAATTCCCTTGGACATTGCAGGGAAGGGGTGCAAGGGTAACACTGAAACTGTAAACACCTGGGTCCTGATTTTATCCTATCTTGTAAAAGTGCAGGCAGCAAAATTATGAGCTAGTTCAGTTATTACTTCATTGTTTCTCAAGTCATGTTATGTTAGTGCTAGTATGATTTCTTACAAGAGGTGGAAACTTTCCAGAAGTTTTCTTAAGTTCTTTCAGTATCTATGATTGAAAGTTTTTGGAAGAAGTTATGATGCAAAGCAAGTTTCAGATGACTAACAAAAACCACAGTTCTGTTTAGATACACTTTGTTCCACCCCAAGTTACCCTGTCATTAAAASTCAGTGAGACAAGTGTCATTATTTTCACTTTTTATCATTTGTACTTGCTGTCTATTTACTTGTGGACATGCTCCCTCTCTGCAGCTGATGCAGCAGAAGAGATCGACTTGGCTGTGGTTTACCAAGCAGCAGCAAATGGTGATGTGAACACCCTGACTGCAGTGATCCGAGAGGATCCTTCCATCCTGGAGTCTTGTGACAGAGAGGGTAAATGAAGGCTGAGCTTGTTCTCAGGAGACCTGTTGCTTCAGCTTGCAATTAAACTTTGCAAATTTTTATTCTGATTTTTGTGTTCAGAAAATGATATTTAGTAGCAGAATATGGGAAATTTGAGTTATTGGAACATCCACTGGAAATGCATGGTTTGGATAATTCCTTCCCCCTATAATTGTAAGATATTTTTATATGGTTATAAATAGACTGTTTTGCTATGATTAGACAGTACTTTAMCATTAATTTAGTTTCTCTTATTTAGGAAGATGCTGAGAAACTGCTGGCATTTCAGGGGAAGAAAAAGAATATTTTCGCCAATGCCAAATACGATCCATTCTGCATATGTGTAAAGCAGAGGTTATMATATGTGTACAGTCACAGTTTGAATGGGTCTGTCGAGTAATTGTTTGCCAAAGAGCTGGTTGTACAATGTGCAGTGGTCTAAATGATCTGTTTTATCTGTCAGACTGTGCTCATTTTGTGTTCATGTTACTATTTCATGTTATCACAAATTTTACATTGRCTGGGTTTTATGCACATCTGCTTCCTAAATGAATAAGAACCACAGACCTCTGGAAGTTGTTCTCACTGTTTTTTTCAGAAGTATTTTTTTTTAATTTCAGTTTCTTATAAAGGGTCCATATGAACACTGACTTATCTAATCTTTAACAGCTTTTACCAAGCTACCAATTTTTCTTACACCTTAAACCACACTAACTGTTATCTTTAACACATCTAGTGGTCAGTATAGAAAAGCCTACTCAAGACAAAATGCTAGTTGAATTCACAGCAGGAGAGAGGCTACGTATGATGGGTGGATGGAGTAGGTGGAGATGGACTGGTCAGCAAACAGAAGTGTTTCAGCTCCAGAACTRATTTGTTTCTTAGGCTGTCCATTCAAATGCAACTACAGACCAGTTTTGCAACAGAAAACATACAGCTCATATCCTGCACWTGTCAGGCTCTGAATGACCTCAGGTTGAGTAGCACATTTCCTCAGCAATCTCACTATGTCCAGTACGAATAATTATTCTTCAACTATATCTGAAGTTGCTAATAGTCTTATAATTTCTAATATTCATGTTTATCCCCAGCCTAGTAATTTTAATTTGCTTTGTCAAATTCTGCAGGGAAATCTCCTACTGTTTTTCAGCAGTTAACAGAATGGAAGGAAGAGGAAGCAATTAAAAGATTTCATGAAGAAATTTGAGTATTAGGTTTAATGTAGGTTTCAGAGGTTTTAGAAAACAGGAAATTTTTGCAGGATATTAAARAAGTTCTTATAAGAACAGGAAATAAAATAACCTAGAGCAAATCCAGTTCAAATTAAGTTGTTCTCTGCATGAAGGGCCAACTCATACATGTATGCCTTTGCAAGGGACCCAGCTTGATTTCACAAGTCTTTTAAATACACAGACAGAATGAAGCTGTGGGTTGAGAAAATGAGACAAGCACCATCTGGCTACTAGTCATTCTGAAAGAAACCAGCCTCCAAAGGTGTACGAAGCCAAAAGTTCATTTTGGGAACTTGTTGACAGAAAAGCACTTTTCCTTCCAGAAGCAGAGTTAATGAGGCAAAGCTATTGCTAATGCAGTCATGCTCTTTTTAAAACCAGTAGTCAGTGATGGGCATAGCAGTTACTTCCTGCCAAAAAAAAAGCTGAGTATTGGACAGTTTTCAGAGAAGGGACTTGATAACTTGCCAGTATTAACATTAGAAAATAAGAAACTATATCTTATAGACATGACAAAATAACATTGTAAAACAAATTTGGCTTTCTTCTCCAGGTTGCACACCTTTGATGCATGCTGTATCAGGACGCCAGGTTGATACAGTGAAGCTTCTTTTGAAGATGGGAGCCAATATTAATACTCAAGATGCTTGTGGACGTACCAGTTTATCTCTGGCAACTTATCTGGTACCAAGATTTGGGAGACAAGGATGGAGTGAAGGGAGTAAATGTGCAGACCAAATAAGATTTCTGCTTATACTACAGAAAGAAAAAAAGGGCAAAACATTTAGTTCTAGATAATCACGGAATTGGTTTTGAAACTTTACTACAATGCAAAGCTGGAGCAATGATTATTACAAGAGGATCAGGACTCCTGACAGTGTCCTTTCTCTTTCAGGTTGTAAAGTCAGTGTTTCCTGTGCACTGGAAAGTCCCCTTTTGTTCTTAAACTTGGTTAGATATTTATCTAATCAAGTGAGGCATGTGTTCCTGCATACCACATGAGCCAGGGTATTGCTTCTTTTCATTGTGGTGCTGGACTTTGGATGGCCAGGTTGAGAATGGAAGTTCAACATGGAGCTCATGCAGAGCTCAGATCATAAACAATCCAGTCCCCTGATGAACCTACATGCCAGCGACAGGAGGGGCAGAATCCCACTGAGACGTTTGGGGAGGGAATTTTACTTCAGCAATAAGGATGGTCCTTTTCTCCTTAGTCTCCTACTCCTTGCAGGAGGCAATTCATGTTTCAGAGAGAGAATGGGGACCAAGTTAGACAAGCAGCGTGGGCTTCCATTATTAATTAGACAGAAAGGAAGGAGTGTCCAGCTATGCTGAGTAGTATGAGTTATGGCTGGATGACTGCCAGACCGTTTAAACAAACACTGTGGCAGCCTAATTAAATGACATCCCTTGCACCCAGTTTCTTCCTGAAAATTCAAGACAAGAACAATGTTCCCGCTTAGCTATGCATTATTCAGCCAGAAAACAAATTTTGAAAATATCAAAACAGGCAGCCTCGTCTAGTGCGAGAAGCATGCCGCACTTACTTGAGAACAAACATTTCCTCTGCAAG